ACACACACACACACACACACACACACACACACACACACACACACACACACACACACACACATTCAGTGACCGACAGAAATCCCAGGATCTGAATGCTCACATTTGTTGACCGTTTGATGCTTTTTATTCCTGACACATTCAGGAACAAATATATTTCACCATTTAACCCATGAATGATTAATAAAGCTCTGATGCAAAGCAACTTACCTTATCTAATTCAGAAAACTCGATCCGTTCCTCTGGCGTGCAGCTTCGACCGATCGGTGAAATATTAATTGTTCCGTTCCTGAACTCAATAAACGTCCCTCTGCAGGAGTGAAAACGCAGACAGTTAACCGTTATACATTCTACAGAGACCTAACTAGGCCAAAACGKTTTTTTTTCTTCTTCTCTTTTTTGACATAACAGTGATTCATTCTTGTCAAGATGAGTTTTAGCTTCATTCCTTTTCTTTTTTTTTACCAGAGGAAAGTTTTCTGCTCAGACAGATCAGTGCTGAGGGGGAAACCATCCTCCAACCACCTCTGAACCCCTAAAGGCAGGTCAAATGTCAAGAAAGTGTGTGTAGTTATGTGTGCRTATGTGACAGATATCACCTGGGGAGTTTAAGGCAATGGATTAGATCTTTATTGAAGTTGGGAATGTGGACAGAATATGAACAGTTAAAGGATAAAAGGTTAAAGTCTGGCTTTTTCTGTCGAATAATTATTAATAACTACATAATTTGCATTTCCTGTGAAAAYGCAGYGCCAWTGCTTAATGCTAAAAKATTTTTTCTGAATAGCTAAAAAAGCTAMAACTGGTTTAAAATTGTTTCAAAAGTTGCTAAAATTAGCACAATACATGAATGTTGCTGAAAACAGCTCAAATTAGCTAAAACAGCTGAAATGAATAAAGAAGCAGAAAKAATCCCAAAAAAGTTGAAAACAGCAGAAGAAAAGCAGAAAAGGTGATAACTAAAAAAGAACAAAGCCAAAATCAGCAAAACAGAAGCAGAAGAACCAGAARAGTAAAGATTTRTGAACATTTAGAAAGCTGGTGGCACGGTGGCTCAGTGGTTAGCACCGTCCTGGGTTTGATCCCCGGTCCAGACCTGGGGTCTTTCTGTGCGGAGTTTGCATGTTCTCCTCGTGCTTCCATGGGTTTTCTCTGGGTGCTCCGGTTTCCCCCACCCCCAAAAACATATAGGTTGCCTTCAGGCCCAGGCCGCCCTTGAAAAGGAGATCTGCGATCTCAATGGGATTTGCCTGGTTAATACGGTAGATAAATAATAAAAATAAAGGTTTTAAGATGTTGAAGTCAGCTCTATTCATTTTTAATGAGGAAAGAACTAACTGAAAAAAAAATTAAATATCTGATAAAGTATAAATTGCTGAAGCACCAAAAGTCATTTCATTTTGATATATAAAGTGTTGAAATAGCACCGAAATTGCCAAGGAGATAGGTGAACAGATTTTAATTCAGGCTGGATTGACAAAGTAACAGCTAATCTGCTAAATTATTGACAAAATGTAAGATATTATTTTAATAATTCTTTCACAGGATCTCGTTTTATAAGATTTGTTTTGTTTCTTTAAGCTGCAGCGTTGTTTTCTTGTCTATTTCTCACCTTTTCTTCGGCAGCTTGATGAGCCCCATGTAGCTGAGGCAGAAGTTGATCAGATCCTGCAGCAGCTCCTCCCCGATCTGGTTTTGAATTGCCTGCAGGAAGATTAGAAAGAAATGCTTTTAGAAAATAAACAAAACGCCAAAAATATATTTCTAAATATATTTTAGGATTATTAAAACTGGTCAAACCATGCAAAGAGCGAAACAACCCTACTCTTTTTCTAAGCTGTTAATGGTTTTAAGAACAGTTTAGCCAACTGTTTGCCTCTCTACAGCATTTACAGCTTTCTTCATGCAGGATTACAGCCATAAACTAAAATTCACTTACATGTTTTGAGAGAAGTTTACCGTCTTTGTACTGAACTGTTCCATTCTCAGCAAAAACATAATCAAACTTGTGAATCACTGGAAGAGAAAAGACAAACAAGACGAGGAATTACCTGCTACTCTAAAAATACTAAAGATAAGTGTCACAACAAACTGTATGTATGTTGATGCAGCACATTTTGATCTGTCTAACCTCTTTATTCTTTGGTTMTCACTTTGACAATCTATCAGTATGAAACTATGCAGAAAATTACTTTTTGCACGTTTGTGAGGTAAAAATAACAATAAAATAGCTTCCACCTACCTACCCATCCATTGCTGCTCATTCATGAGGTGTGTCCATTAAGCCTTATAATAAATTGATACAGTGATTTTCAGAATCGATACGATATCAGGAAATTAAATATTGCAATAYTTCACTATATCAATATTTTCATACACCCCTAATTCTTTTGTTTATAAAGGTTATGAACAGAATCTGTGACAAATTGCAACTCTAGAGTCCAACACAATTTACAAATCAAACTTTCGCTTTATTTATAAAGGAACAAACAAAACCTACTCCTAAAGTACACCTCACCTTGTCTTAAAATATCCACAGAAAATAAATAAGATGTATGGGACAAAACAAACAGTAGCAGCGACAACAAATAATAGTTATTGTGCTCTGAAGCAGCATAGATATAAAACTGGTACAAAGACCACTTTGATGGTGAAATTGAAGCATCAGTATTCATACGTATTTTTCTGTGAAGACCATCATTAGCCCTGAACATAAACTTTACAGTGGAACCACAAGCTGCCATTCAAATAACAGAAAGGATCTGATCTGAAGGAATGCTAAACCAYCTTAATATGTCCAGATGGCAAAAAAAAGTCTAAGAATCCTCCTCTGAGTYTGATTTAAAGAGGCTGAAAACACACGTCTTAGAAATAAAAACAGACAAAAAGGTCTCAAAATGTTGTGCCTCTAAAGTTCTACATCAGCTGTGCTACAAACTGTACCTTACAGGCATCTCAGTTTTTTTTATTACGTAACACCATCAGCTGTTTTCTTGTATCAGGAAAGGAAACATTAACCCACAGTGAACTTGGCTCGCAGATAAACAGCAGCTCCTGCTCAGAACAACGTGTCTGCATTCCAGCTGCAGCCAAAAATATTTACCGTCAGACAGGAGATCAACGTGTCATCGCAGCTGAGGATTACTTACTGAACAGAGAGGCTGCAGTAACCGAGTGACGCCCAGCGAGRCACTGTGCGTGTTTTGGCAGAATATTGAGGAATCAGAAGTGTGTGCAGAGTGAAACGTGTAACATTAGATGTCAGTAATGGCGCAGGCGACAGTCAGCACTGTTGTTTACTAAAATGTGACTCGAGGCATGAGGCGAATCAAAGGAAACGAAACTTTTAGTCATCGCTGCTCTGCTTTCAGACCGTCTGCTGATTACTTTCTGAACGTGTCAGTAAATTTGCCCAGTGCTTTCTGAGATATTTTGCTAACAGAATTTTCACCATCATCTCCCTCGCCGAGCTGCTCTGCGATCTTGGGGTAGTCCGAGCCGCCCACGATGCCGATCTTCACCTTCCTCCTCAGAGTCTGGAAGAACTCATCCAGGCGAGGGTCGATTTTCTGCAGGGAGAAAGAAAACACACTTCATGTCATCTCGATAACTCACAAATGTCCACACAAATTTTTTTTTAAAACCAGGGGATTGCAGCTTTCTGGTCAATCGCCACGTCTGACCTGCCGAATCTGATTTTGGCCAGTACYAATTTTTTTAAATGACACTTTCAGGTGTTATAAGGTCATGATACTAGGGATGTCAAAATCAGATACTCAGTATCAGTGGCAGATATGGCCATTTTTGAAAATCGGGTAGAATCGGATTTAGTCATGTGATCGGGCCGATTAGGGCTGCAACGATTAATCGATTAATCGACGACTAATCGATTATTAAAATAATCGATGACAATTTAATAATCGATTAATTGTTTTCTTTTTTTTGTTCTTTGTTTTTCTCTCCAAACTGCTTTGACACCTTCCACTGCCACATCTGCCTTTCTGTCCTTGACACACATGCACAGTAGTGGTAACTGGGGTAGGCCGTGGACGTCACAAGACATTATACAGACAGGCTCTGGTATCATGGCTACCTGACAACAGAGCTCAAAAGTGTGGGATCATTTTCAGAAAATGAAAGAGAAACCTGTGTAATATCTGCAGAGCAGAACTTGCCTTCCACAGCAATTATTTTTAGTTAGCATATAGCTAAAATCTAACGATGGTTATATAATAGCAGCTACATTCTGGCGCAATAAGCTCTATGTTTTACATTCAATTAACGTATAATCCGATTAGTCGACTAATCGAAAAAAAWAATCGGTGATTAATAGATTATAAAATAATTGTTTATGGCAGCCCTAGGGCCGATCCAGTTTTCTTGACAGTTTTCAGCATCATCATGCTTAAAACTGCAGTTAAGAAGTCAAGACACACACAAGTATACAACCATGTCCACAGTGTGGGAACACTTTCCAATGGAAAACAATGATGCTGAAACTGCATTTTGCAAAATCTGCAAACTGGATGTTTCTCGTGGTGAGAACAGCAGGGCTCGCTTTAATACTACCAACCTTGTCACTTGGAAAGAAACAAAGAAATAAAGAAATAAAGCTATCGGATCGGTATCAGAAAGACTAATCATTTTAAAAAATCGGATTGYATCGGGAGCCACAAAATCTGGATTGGGACATCCCTACATGATACACCTTCAATGTTCCAATATTATTTTATTGAAAGACACTGAACAACTTGTTTTAACTGGACATGAGGTAGTGCTCACTGCAGAGCAACAGGGAACAGTGGAGGTAGATGAGATGACGATCTTTTCCACTGATCTTACCCAAGTATCGTCCGATCTCCAATCTACCAAAATTAAGGAAATCTATCGATTTATTGGTGCACTCCTACTTAAAAAGCAACATTTGTGTAGTTAAAATGTAAACACAGACAAGACAGCAAACAACTGTCGGCTCACTTGACCGCAGTAAACAACTGGACATGACTGAGATTTGTATTTGTTACCTTGTAAGGTCCATTTTCTCAAAACATGCTACCTTGTGAGGACCCCGTTACAGGGCCCAAAGCAATTTTTGGGTTGGGGCTTTTATAGGTTTAGGACTAAGGGTTAGGGMTGAATCAGTGAGTCAATGCAAAGTCCTTGTAAAGATAAAAAATGTACGGTGTGTGAATGACATACAAACTCTAACCTCAGATGACTCCAACAAATCAAGCAGAACAGAAAAAGCAGATAAACCCTAACAGAAATATTACATTAGACTAACAATCCGATGCATTCTCTTACATAAAAACACAAATAATATTTCTCAGTGCCTGCTGTAAGAACATGTCATTTAACTCAAATACAAGGACGGTTTGATAATAAGTGATGCTTAAGATGCCACTTCCAGGTCAGCCAGAGCAGCTTTTAGTTTTTCGTGTTCCAGAGGAATACAAAAATAAATAATAAAAATGAATGAACACATGAAGAGGACACAGTGTGCTCGCCCTCTCTCTTTCTCAGGAGTGAGGAGAGCTGCAGAGGAGGAGGAGGAGGAGGAGGAGGAGGAGTATGAGGAGGAGGCTTGTCATGAGGAATAAACATGCAGTAACTGCTTGCTTACCTCTCTCGGAGCTGTCAGAGTCCCGTCCACGTCAAACAGACACAGGACGTTTCTGTCCGACGAGAATCCGTTCCTACATCTCTCCATTTCTCAGTAATGTATTCCTTCCAGCTCGATTTGTGGGTCAGAAGTAAAAAGGTTCGGTCCAAACGCTCACATGACGTTTGTGCATCTTAAAGTGTTGCAGCGGTCAAAGAATTAATGAGATGTTTAGATAAGAAAAACAGACTCCGGGGGTCCTGGGTGAGCCGAAGAGCCACCCGTCCCGCCCCCTCACAAGTCTCGGTTCTGGTTCGGCTCCGTTCGGCTCGGACGGTTCTGTTGTCCTCCACGTGCGATTCGTGCCTGGTTCGTTGTGCAGCAGTGATACAGAGGAAACCATTCAGAGCCAGAGGACTGGGCGTGWTGTCAAGGCCGAGGGGGCGGGGCCACACGCTGCTGAACTTTTGCCTATAAGCAGAGCCCTATGCTCTGCCTACAAGCATCTGATGTATGGCAGGCCGTTGTAACAAATAATCAAACCACAGCCCTGGAACCTTGGAACCACAATGTTTGTTTTTAATCAATGTCTATACAGTATATATTAGCAGACAGTAAAAACTGATAACATAACATAACATAACATAACATAACATAACATAACATAACATAACATAACATAACATAACATAACATAACATATGACATGACATGACATGACATGACATGACATAGTTTTATTGGAATATATTTTTAATGAAAAACTGACAGTGTTTTAGGAATTAGAGTCTGCATATTGAACCACTATGAATTTTTCAAGATTTGAAGCTGTTATAAAATAACAGCGATCCACTTCAGCATTGCTTACTTTAAATTATTTGTTAATCCAGGATTAATACTGAGTTTTATTTACCTGTAAAGTTGAAACTGGGATCTGTGAATGATGCCACAACCAACTTCACCAGGAGTCAGAAATCATAGAGTTTGTTGTGTTTACTGACCAGGCTAACTAAAAAAAAAAAAAAAGCATTATTTAGTGTCTGTTTTAACATTCAATGGTCAGATTGGAATTTATGGCAAATATTTCATGTACAAATAAGATATAATGGATTTTAAGGTTGTGGCTAATCAAAATCTAATCTTTGATTTGACGGAGTTTTGACACTGACAGGTCTACAACCTGAAAACTCTATGAAATCTCAAATATATCTCGGTTCAGTGGCAATCTATAAATGATTGATTTCACATCTCTACATTTTTTAAGGGTTTGTCCCAAGATCATCATCTATTATAAATGCAAAAAATGTGTCACTTTCATTTGATGACTGTTCTGATGAAAAAGGCTTTGAACAATTCTGACCACAGAGACAAAGCAGCCTCATTGTCTCCATTCAGAGCTTATTTGTATTCGTCAGAAGAAAGTGGAAGTAAAGAAATATGTGTTTTATGTCTAGTACACAAACACTGAGGTATACTTCAAAAGCTCAAATGTCATTTTAAAAATTTGCCACTTTAGTAATTCATACAGCGTAACAGTGATTCCTGGACATTCTGCCACCCGCTGTTCAAATTGTGGTGGAAAACTGTAGAAATAATGTAAAAGAGGTTCCTTTTCAGTCAAGATTCTGTGTGTGGCACAACTGTAGATTATTTGCACAATTTATCAAATTGAACAGTTTCACTGACTTCATTCATTAGTTTAAAACTGCACCCAGATCAGTTCTTGGCATCGAAACAATCTTGTTTTGTTCACACCAACCATTCGGTCGACGTGGGTGTTGGATGTGAGCTGATACCCTGGCTGTGAGTGAGAACTCCACCTACTTGGCGCAACATTTTGTTAGCCGGCTTGTTGGTGTGGAGCTTCTAATTTCAAGAACAATTGTCCTTTTAGGCAATGTTATATTTTTTCTAAGTTAAATAATATCTAAATATATAACAAAGGAATTAAAAATTGAATCATCAAAATATTTAAGTGGCCCTTTTAACATTTTATGGTTAGACAGATTTGTATTGCATATATCCATAATTAAGTTATTTTTAAACAAACAAACAAAACAAAACAAAAAAAACCTTTCAGTTACCCAGATTGCAATCGACAATAGTCAATTCAAATATCTCTCTGTTCATAATATGAACTGACTCTTGGCACATAATGCTTGTTAGAAGGGTGCCCACTCCCCCATAAAGGATGTCAAAACAACTTATGCTTGTGTAAAGTCCTGTACTCAAAAAACAGACGGTAGGCTAATATTGCTTTTATTTAGTTGATTTATCTGTAAAAATGGTCATAGGGTGATGTGCGGCTTCACAAACAGACAATTAAACAAACCAAACCCTTCATTTTATCCCATACCTTTGGATGAAGACAGAAGACTGTAACTATAGCAGCCATTAACCAGAAGGACTGGCAGCCCTCGATGTATTCAGATTTACARCAAACAGTTTTTACAAATTAAGAAGATTACCATTCATATTTCATAACAGTGCTGGGTGATATGGCTTAAAGAAATTTGATTGATAGATGTAACACCAGTGCTCAGCTCTACTGCTCTATTTACACTAAACTATCTACAACACAGCTCCAAAACGAGCTCAACAGCAAACGTCCACATGAAAAAGAAGCAGATGAAATAGTTAATAAGAAAGAAAAGATTAAATTCAGTGGGTGGACGTGGTTCGAGCTTTGAAGGTCTGATAAACTTCAGCTTTCAGTCCGCTGTAAAATGGTGAGGACAAACTGTGGGAACTCGTCAGATCTGCACCATCGGAAAAAAGTTTTAAAAGGAAGTTAACAGACTTTTTTATTGCCAATAAACATTGCTACAATAAATAAATAATCTACCAAACACAAATTTCCTTACTTTTTGTGCTAAGTGTAGACATGAAGAATGCACCTGTTGATATCTGGAACTGAAAGTTTCAAACATGGAAAACGAGTCTTAAAAGTTTTTTGCTCAACCAGTTTCATCAATAATCAAATCAACACAACCATAACTAAAATGTCAATATGTTGTACTAAAGCCATGGACATCATCAGATAAATTTGTTTATTTTCTTTATGATTATGTCTCAGACTTTCATTGTTTTTGTCTTCAGTTGTATGTCTACCTTCAGTATGAAGTTTAACTTCATCAGGGACAGGGAGTTACTGACAGTTTTCTACATTGATTGCTCCACACTGCCCCCTTGTGTTTACAAGTGATGCTGCTTCAGCTCAGGACTTCTTTCAGGACATTTTGGTCAATCTGGCAAAAACTAATCAGAGTATCTTCAGTACAATCGATAACGTTTCAAAACTTAAAAAGGAATGATTTTAAATTATTTCTGTCATTTTGATTTCTAACCCTTCCTTCTACAAAACATAAAGTATCTAATATTTTTTTTAGTTATCTTTATTTATTTTTTGTTATTGATTTTCTGTTTTGTCTTTGCAGAATCTATTCAGTAGTGTTGCTGTTACAATTTCTCTACTAAACAGACCCAAATGATGATTCGTGATTTTTTTAAACAATTCTTTACAATAATTTTTTATTTGTGTTTTTATGAGTACGATTCAAAATCTTGAGCTTCTACTCTATAAATCTTTTGCATATTTTAATTATTTTTAACTCAATCATTTATATCACTAGGAACATTCTTTAACTTTAGGAAAAAGTGACTCTTTTTGAGGTAAATCAAAATTTACTCATGTTAGGTCCTTCTTTTTCACTTCATCAAAGTAGCCATCTTTTATTTCCTATCTTGTTATTTTAGTACAGTCTTGTGTCAAAATTATGATCCAGTCAAGCTGAGTTTTTTGTCAGTTCCGATGTTTTTATGGATTCACACAAAATCCTCAATTAGGTCTCCTTGCTTATGAAGACTCAAATAAAAAAAGCCTCTTAAGGGAAACTTCGGCAGAACCAATTCTACAGTCCAAACTACCACTGTTCAGCTGCTGTTTAACAACATATCCTGGTTGTTAAACAGCAGCTGAAATAAAATGTCTTGTTCCTAACACCTTGTTATTTCCTTTGACAGCTTGAAACTGACTGAAAGCCTCTTCAGATGGAAATGTATTTAGACTAAATGACCGTGTCCTCCAAGCCAACCGTGCTATTCCAGCGTCATGTTCCTGTTTGTTTAATGTTTTTATGGGAAAATGTGTGATGTGCAGGATGTGTGGAGCAGGAGCCCAAATGTGTTTGCTTCCTGTTTGATTTGTGTAGTTCAGCACAGCATGAAAACCTGTGATTTTATTTTTTGAGTTTATTGCAGTCAGGTGATAAATGTTTCAGGAGAAATTACAAATCAATCCGGTCTAAAACACAAATGACTGACAAAYAAACACATCTGAATAATGGTTTACTCTTATCAGTTTGACATGAGCAAAACTTCAGGGGATTAAATATATCAAAGTATAGATATGAATAAAACTGAATTACTTACAAATTGAATTGCTATATAGATTTTTAAATGATCAGTACCATTACGATTTACTGCATGTGTTTTCTGATATCTTCTAACAAGAGCTCTGTCGTCTGGGGGGGAGTTCAGAGTAGAGCTGCTCCTCCACATTGAAAGGAGTCAGGCGAGGTGGTTGATCAGATTAGGATGCCTCCTGGAAGTCTACCTTTGGAGGTCTGCTGGGCAAATTCCACTGGTGGGAGCCCCCTGGGGAAGACCCAGGACTTGCTGGAGGGATTATGCATCCTCTCTGTCCTCGGAATGCCTCAGGGTCCACCAGAACAAGTTGGAAAGTGTCACTGGGGAGTAGCCTAAGACCAAGTCAAGACCAAGTTTGTACCCCCTGCTCGCACCCATCCCCCATAAACTATGGGGAGGAGGTATAGGTGAAACACTGCCGAATGTAACAGAACAAATATAACAATCTTTTACCTTTAAAATTTGTTTATTTTGTTGCATTGAATCATAAATTTTTAATTGATTTAAAATTCATTTGTGCATTAAATTAAGTAAAAACATCTTAACAAATTATTCTGGGTGGTGGTCATTGGATGTGGCCCATGGGCTGCCAGCTGAACAGTCCTGCAGTACTGCAGGTAACTTAATATATACAGTATAAAGTGGTGGGCACAGTTCCCCTAAAGCACTAAAGCACTAAAGCACTAATAGGGGAGCTAATTTCCTGATTAGTGCTTTAAGGCTTTTGTCATTTTTTTACTTCATTAGTGGATTAGCACTTGCTAAATTCATGAGCTAAATTAAGAAGCACTAACTTATGTCTTTAAATGTTATTGATCAACATTATTGAAAGCTGTCATACATTTTGTTCATATGCGTGTAAATACAAGGTCACGTGTATCAAACTGAAGGCCCACGGGCCAAATGTGACCTGCGGGTGGCTCCCATTTGGCCCGCCAAGGGCACTGGAGAAAATATTCTGCACACAGTAAATATTGTCTTATGTTGACTCTGAAAAATGTAAAATATGTCAAGTGGGTTATATTAGTGCTTTAGAATTAGCTTTTGCTATTTTTTTAGTGTGTTAGTGCTTTAGAATTAGGGGACCTAAATATTTGAGTTAGTGCTTTAGGGTTAGTGCAACAAATATTTAGATTAGTGCTGCCCACCACCGGCCACTTTATTAGGTACACCTGTCCAACTGCTCATTACTGGGAATGCCGAATCAGCCAATCACATGGCAGCAACTCAATGCATTTAGGCATGTAGACATGGCCAAGACGATCTCCTGCAGTTCAAACCGAGCATCAGTATGGGGAAGAAAGGTGATTTGAGTGCCTTTGAACGTGGCATGGTTGTTGGTGCCAGAAGGGCTGGTC